CTGACATTTCTCACCAACATCAAGTTCAACACCAGCTCCCCTGATGGCTGTCCTCTCATTAAGGGCAGCTTGCTTATAAGTCTTTTAAGTAGAGTGGTTCTTCCCTTCACATTAGACTTAGCAGTGAGCAAGATGTCTCTAGGATGCAATAATTTGAAGGTCTTCTGGCACAATCTCAAACCTCCCACCAAGCAGCAGCTGAACACTCCCATTTCCTCCACCAAATCATGGTATCACTCTCTCCCCACCAATGACTTCTACATAAACCTCCCTCAGAACTACCTTTTGGAAGTCGGCCAACTTGGACTGGGAGCCTTGTAAGAATATTTCTGATAAGTCTTGAATCTGAATAGATTGCATACATCGTGGTCATATTCAACACTGGTGCAGCTCAGCTGAGTTGAATGGGATGAACTCTTCCCCTCTGAACTATCTTTCCTTAGGGGATTTTGGCACTTGTGCTTCTGATTCCAAAGGGGCACAGGGAAAAGCAAAAGTAACCAAAGAAGGAAGGTTGTTCAGCAGGAACTAACATGACTAACAAGACTCGAGCTTAAAAGTACTGAGCTTAAGTCACAGAAAATAGGTAACTGCATGAATTCTGTTCATCACCTAAACCCCTTTTGTTATTTCTCCTTTTCCATAACTTGACATCTTTCCTTTCCTTTGTTTTTTTCTAAAACCAAGCCTTGCATTTATTAAGACATAAATAACTGTAGTCCACAAGTAACCTAATAGCATGGTTTCAATCAGAGAAATAGCATTACTCAGAGGAGATGCTAAGACCAAATGTGCTACTGCAACAGAGCAATGCAAGGGTCTGTGCCTCTCCCTCGGCAAGGGGAAAGGGATGGGGAGGAAGGGAAGGGGCGGGTTGCTGGCATGGCCAGAAGGCGGCTGCCCCTCAACACTGATTGTCTGTGAGGGCTGTCCATCATACGGCCCTGCCCCTTACCACCAACTAGCAGCAAGTGGTGGGGCCACATGATGGACAACTCTTACAGGTGATCAGAGGTGAGGGGCGGGACCATAAGTCAGGCAGCCCTCATAGCCAATCAGCGGCAAGGGGCAGAGCCCCTTGGCTAATCAGAGGTGTGGGGAGCCCTGCCATACTCGGTCCACGAAAATGGCTGCCAGCCTAGGCATCTGCCTGTGAAATCAGCCGGCAGCCACCTCAACTTTGGAGGACCCCTAGTAATATTCTTTAATTTTAATCTAGCAAAGCTTTCACTGAAGACTAGGAGGATTTTGCTTGTGTAAGCACAAATGGTTGTAGGATTTTGGCCACTAGTATAACAATCTGTGTACCTTTTCAACTCTGGATTGCATGTCACATTGTGAATCAGAATCTCACAGCACACTTGGGAGGTCAGAAATAAAATACTCCATTGTATAGACTGGTAAACAGAAGCACTATCTAGGGAAGTAACTTGCAGTTATTGGGCAGATAACAGAGGCGTGGTCTTGATCTCCATCAACATTAATGGCCAACTCCTGTTGATTTCAGTGGCTCCAGAATCTGGCACTAGTCTTCTAACAACTACAGTGACACTTCCAATCACATTAATTTTGAAAGACTTGAACTACTAATGACAGGAGGCCCAGCTCTTTAAATTACAAGCAGCAGGCTTGACTCCTCCTAGGTGTAACTTCCAGAGTTCAATTGTGTCAGTGCTTTATTTTGTGTTGATCTATTACAGCCAGGCATACAAATCAAAGTGAGACAATGATGATATCCATGCAGATTTTAATCAATTAGCAGGCTCCAGATTCACTTGTGCTCTAAGCACTACGTTAGGTAAATTCACCTGGATTCTCTAAGACCACCACAAACATACCTACATAACCCATAAACTTTTTTGGTGTCTACTGTAATACATACACATGTGTATATTACAAATCTGCAAATCTTTACTTCAAATACAGAGATTGCTCTCAATTTTTTTAAGAGTACTTCCTCTAAACTTTAGATCCCTACAAAACCAACTCAGTAACAGTCAGACTTTCTTCAGAAGTCAAGAACTGGATAGTATTCAGACTCAAGCCCTCAGAGCCTTCCAAGTGGGGCAATGAAGCATAAGTGAAACAATACACAAAATGCAATCTGTTAAATAGAATAAGGAAGTCAAGACTGATATTGCCACCAGCAGCAAAGCCTCCCTTTGATATAAACACTCCCTTCCTGGCACCCATCAGGATTTATTACGTTTCTAGTATTACTGAGGTTTATTTTAGGCAAGTGGTGCCACTGGGGAATTTGGCTCTATTAATCAAGTAGGCAAACTTGTTCCTATTTTTACTCTCAATAATGAAACCTACTGCAGCTGTATAAAACCAAATGCAAGATCCCGATAAAGAACATGCTACTTCCTGCAGGCAGGGTCTCTGAGTAGAGTTTGGTTTTATATAAATCCATAACTGGGCTACTGGCATTCTGCAGAGACAACTGTCCAACATGCAGCTTGTGAACTGCAGAGGGAAATCTGAATATACAGGAGAGATTTTTTTTTCTTCTTTTGAGGCTCACCGGCAATGTGGATCAGGAAACTGCATAGCCCCAGGAGGAGTATTTTCTTGCATTAATGAGGGCAATTACTGGAGCCTGGGAGTGAAGCCTAGCCAGCTAAAGAGGGATTTGGGCTTAAAGAACCTGCGCCTATGCGGTAACAGCAGTAGAAGTACTGAGTTTGGGGTTTTTTGTGTTTTATTCTCTGCTCCCTAAAAAGGGGAGGATTTCTCCGCGGCAGTTTTTGTCTTCATCCTGCTGAGTTAAGGAAGCCCTGCAGGGCGACTGGATCCCAGGCATCCAGCCCCAGAAAACAGAGGAATAGAAGACAAGAAGAGGGATAGGATTGGTTTGATTTATCAGACTGGGCAAACAAGTCCGGGTCTGAGTGCTGGACAGTATAAAGACTCTTTTTCATGCCAGAGGTAACTATCCAGAAGAAGAACGGTAACTGGCCTTGACTTGGAGAAGACAGCCAGGCTGACCACATGCATATGTTCCAAATTATATCTGATACCGTGATAACAACTGGTAGGTGTCTGGCTGGGGTGAAAGGGGAGGTTGGAGCCCCACTTGGAAGATGCCTTGCACCATAACAAGACTCGTGAAGACACATCACCTCCCCAGAAGAATAATCCCTCAAGTCATGGCAGGGAAGAATTAGGTGGAGATCAAAGTCTAATTAGTTGGCCAAGGTGCAACAAGAAACCCTTTTTTTGCCTGCCCCCCCCCACCATGTGAAGCCCCTCCATATGGCAAAAAGCCCCTTTTGCAGTATTTGTCCCCTTCGGGGGATGCTTTCTCTCTTCTACCTTTTCTTCCTTCCCCCCTCTTTTTCTTTTATCATATTATTATTATTTTTATAGAATATAAAATCAGGTATCCTCCTGGCTGCCATGTGACTGCCTGATTGGCTCTGCACTCACCTGCCCGCTGCCTCACAATCTCTCTAAAAGTGGCAAGCATCCAAAGGTATGCTGCCACAATGTATGATATGAACCACACGTGATAATAAGTCCCAGGCAATAAAGTTTCTTCCCGTAAATCACTGAACTACAGAAAATGATGACAGATGTAGTGTGTGTCAGTTTTAGTCTGCCACAAGGGGGTGGTAATGATTCTGGCAAACATAAATCTATGCTGTGGGTTACTAAGTTTATCTTAGCAGGAAAGCTTTATTGCAAACAAAACAAAATTAACAACATTAATTTACAGTCTTACCTAAGATAAGGCTGTCAAACGACTAAAAAAATTGATCTCAGTTGTGCAATTAAAAAAATTAGTCGCAATTAATTGCAATTTTAATTACACCCCTAAAAACTGAAAATGACGTGCAGAAAAATTCAAAATTATTCAAAATTATGCAGGTACTTTGTATAGTTGGGGGTGGTGTGTGTGTGTTGGGGGGGATTTGTGAAAGTGTTGGAGGCTGTGGATGTGGGGTTTGGAGCCTGGGTAGCGGGGGTCCCCACAAGCCCTGGCAGGATGCAGGGTAGTATGGGTCAGGAGTGAGGAGCAGCAGCAGGGCTGGACAATTAATCACAGTTAAGGTGCACGATTAAGGAGTGAGGGGCAGATGCGTGCGCGCACGCGCACACACACGCACACGCATGCACACACACACAAAGAGAAAGAGAGACACAGACAGCGCTGTGCTGGTAAGTCTGTGGAAGGGGAGGGGTGGGGAGAGAGGAAAGTGGAGGCAGATTGAGGCGCCCATGTTAAAGGAGGGATTGGGGCAGGGACAGAGGCGGGGGGGGGGGGGAATGGGGCTTCGGGTTCAGGGCAGGTCAGGTCATGGGATGGAGCCGCAGGAGACTCGCCCAGGGATGTGGGGTGGCACATGGTTCCCCGCCACTGCGTGCAGTCACCCAGAGTCCACAGCAGAGCTGTCCTGCAGTATTCTGCCTTGCCATCACTGCTCCGTTGGGTGGCAAAGCAGTGCCCAGGTGCAGAGTACTGCAGTGCCCAGGTGTGGGCTCCATAACCATGTGCGCAATTAATACATTAAAAATTAACACAAGAACCAAGTAACAAGTTAATCGTGCACCTTAACTGTGATTAATTGACAGCCCAAGTTTTTATTGTGGAGCATCAATAGAAGCATCAGAAGGATTCTAATAGCAAACTTCTGATAAAGCTAATCTGAGACATTTATCATTTCAAAATAAGGACTTGAAAAAAGGAAATGCTGACAGAATGTTAAAAGGATCTGAGAGTGAACTTTCTCATTTTAGCAGGATATCGAATAAATTAAAAGTCAGGTATAAACAATGCAAAACTTTTGCCTGATTTTCCAGTCTATAAAACCTAGTAGTCTAAAATGCAAAATATTTGCAACACATTACTCTGTGAATTCCCTGCAAACCAAATCATTGCAAACACCTACCTTAGCAATCCAGATGCAAAACATAGGCAAAGATAGTATGCT